GATTGCACCTGACCTTGCGATCTACATAGAAAAATTTCCTTTTTGGGCTTGTATCACTTGCAGAAATAAGTATACGCCCCCGAAACACTACGTAGTTATTTAGCATATATAAAAAATCATATATATGTTGATATAATTTGGGATTCCAATGTTAGTTTTAAGATTTAGCAGTAGTTTAAGATTTTTGTATCCGTTTGGGATTTTGCCATCGGTTTGGAGTTTCAGCAAACAGAAGTGATCATTCAAATTTGTAGATGATTCCGATAATCAACCAATCGTATCTCGAATTTTAGTAAATCGACCAATCAGGTTGCAAAAAAAAACAAAAAAATGTAGGAGGATTCAAAGAATATGTTATAAGACAAGACGAAAGCATTGATTCATCCGTTAAATTTACTCTAGTTTCATAGAAAGTTAAGCTATCCCAGCTTTTAAAAGAAGTAGTGTAAAACGTATTGTGTGGGATAAATTTACAGTTCTTAAATAAAACGATAAGGCATTCGCCAGAGGCGTGACGTTGGCGATTTAGCAATATTTGTATTAGTAAATGAGGGTAATAGGAAATATAATATCGGGTTAGTAACCCTATGTGCCCTACCTCGTACATAAGTGTCGTAGCCAACCTCACCTAAGTTACGTCCTTTAAATAATTTTAAAAGATCATAGAAAGGCTTAAAGATGACTCACTTGTATTTCTCTATGACGTAATGATCCTCGGCCAAACTTATCTTAGTCATTTTTATTTTGAAAATCTTCTGGGTATGTTACTTTTAGCACTGACAGTATTAAAAAAAACATTTTCTACGAAATTGAACGGTCGCTCCTGTTGTTTCAGCATCAGTTTGGGATTTCCGTATCAGTTTAGGATTTCAGTATCATCAGTTTAGGATTTCGGCATTAGTATAAGATTTAGTTTAAGATTTAGGATAAGGTTTAGGCAAAAAATATCATGTACAAAACTAGCTAATACCATAGTCTAAACCTAATGATGTTTAGGAAGGTTTGGGTTCTAGGATCCATCTTTATCTACAATTACAAAAAAGGATAGATGAGCAATTTTACCTTTCTAATCTTTAATCTTAAAACTTTATGCAAATAAGGCAAATGAAATGAGTCGGTAATAGTCTTATAAATCTATATGCGAAATGCTGATTGAAGTTCATTCTGCAAACAAAATTTTCCAGAAATCAGCAGATTTTTACGTATGTTTTACAAAAATACAGAGTTCTTTCGCACATTAAATAAAACTCTATTTTAAACACTTGCCTCATTACATGCCATTCTTAGTAGTAATACATTTTATTAATTCCTTATTAATTGTTATGTATGCGTAATAAGTAATACGTAGAATGTAACAATTACTTAATATTACTTAATATTAAGTATCAGATCAAATTTTCTACGATTTAGGAATTACAATTCGCATCGAATATTCAAATCAAACGATGCAATAATGTTGGCAGAGCTTTGTAAATCTGATACTTGATGTATAACGCGATGAAAATTACATGAAATTTAATTTTCTGAAACATACATAAATTATATGTAATGTAAAATTGTAATTTATGTAACAACCCTAGCCATAGGTCATTATTACTTACAAAATTACTTTGCCCGGCAAGCTGTTTAAAATCCCGACAAGGTCAAAACTCCGACAAGTTATCTCATGTTTTGTCGGGATTTTGATCTAAACCCAAAGAAGGGAAAAGCTATTGTTTAATTTCGTAAAAATACATACCATATCATTCTCTTATAGTAATAGTAGAAAACTTTACTCTTACCCATATCAACGCAAAGTGGAAAAAATTACTCTTACCTAGACTAAAAAATTTCAATGAAACTAAATACGTGTTTCCGATAAAGCTATTCTTTAAAGTTGATTGATTAATAAGAATTACTAATATTATGGATATTCTTTTCTAGTAAACTTGAACATTAATAAACTCATTCCATAAAGGGATTATCCGAAGAAATTTTCGTAGATACTAGCAATTTTAAGCCATATTGTTTCACACGAAATATTAGCATAAAGTACTGAAATAGCTGAGTAATCAAGCTGATTAATGTAGTGGTAGTTGATATAGTCTATTTAATCGTATACGAATAGTAGATAATATTATTATTAATTTCCTCGACTTATTAATAAAAAAAGTATAAATAATGAAGCTGATGAAGAAACCTTCGACACAACAGTCAAGATATTCAACAATTCATCATGAGCAGCTCAACATTCAAAGTTGTAACTATTGCCGGTGCCACTGGTCCTTTAGGTTTCCATATAGCAGATGCTTTTTTGAATGATAGATCTTATAAGATTAAGATTCTTCGACAGAAACCAGAATCAGAAAATAAGAATGCCAGTTTGTTGGCCTCCAAAGGTGCTGAAATTGTTTACGTAGACTACAATGACAGAAATGATCTTGTTAAAGCTCTTAAAGAAACAGATGTCATTGTCTGTGCCATAGGCGGTGCCGAGTTTCTGGCTCCTCAACGTGCTCTTCTTGTTGCTGCGAAAGAAGTTGGTGTAAAGAGGTTCATCCCGTCTGAATTTGGTTCTGATATTAAAGCAATAACGTAAGTTATCATTATTACATAGATCTTTAAATTTTCTCTTTCCGTTGAAATTATTGTTTAAATGTCTTTTTCTTTTAATAATAAAGTGGTGAACTTCATCCACTTCACAAAGTTAAGGTTGAATTTCTTCAAGAATTGGAAAAAAGTGGGATGGAATATACCATTATTGTTACTGGTCTATTCCAAGAATATTTCGGTACATTGGGATTTGATCATAAAAATAAGAAAGCAAAGCTCTACGCTGATGGTAATACAAAGATAGCCAACACTTCTTTGCCTGATATTGGCAAATATACCGTCGAGTCACTTAAGCTACCTGAAGCTCGTAATGGTACTATCAGAGTTTCTGCGCCTGTCTTAACATTGAACGAATTGCTCCAAAAGTATGAGGAAATTACTGGTAAGTTTTTCATTTTAGCAATAATGCACAAGTTTTAAAGATTAATTGATCTTTTTTACTTTTAGGCTCAAAATGGGAAGTTTCCTATGATTTAACCGTGAGAGAAAGGTATAAAAGTAATACCGACCCAGTTCCTACAATGTTGGACGATCTCTCAGCCTATATAGCCATTACTTTAGATATCAAAGACTTACATAACGATAAATTTAGCTTTACCCCTCGCCCTGCTGATGAAGCTATCAGTGCCCTTGTAAAATCTTAGATATTAATAATAAAATAGCGGCTTATGTATAAAGCTCATAAATTTGAACTAAAAATAATAAATTCTATTGTGCTGTAACTTATGCACTATATATGAATTATACTGATTCAAAGACTATTATGATACATGTTAATTCAATCGTCATAAAGTCATTATTTTGTTATGTTCTTTTTTTGTCAATGTTTATTTCAACGCTTGGTTTCTTGCGAACTATTGTTTAAATGCATAAATTCTTAGATTTTTACCTTTTATACGTATTAATTTATCAAACGAATTCTATCACGGTGCGAGCTAATGTCTCTCAGCTGCCCCAGTTAGTGTTCCGAGTTGGTAAAAATTCTTTCAATCGATTAGTTACCAACTACTTATCAACTTTTCCTATCATATGACTAAATTTGTTGATTGGCCAATAAAACTAAAGAAATCAACACGAACCAGCCCGAATAGATGGAATATCTCAGTTGATAATTTAATCAACTAGTTGTTTTAAAATTTTCCAAATTGATGAGTTGGAAAGTTGTTAACTAGTCGGTTTTTCAACTAATAATTTGAATTATTAACTTGGGGTAGTGGGTAAGTTGTTAACTCTCAGGTAACAGGTCTAATGTTCAAATTTTATTTACAATAAATTATAAAAATTATACTTATGTTATAACAGATTATTTATTAATGATCAGTTGGATTGGTATATTTGTAATTTTAGATTACATTATCTTGAATAGGAACTTGGAATATTTATACAAAGTGTAATGTTACATAAATATAGAGAAATGCTTATCAGTATTGTAGAAGATTTTAGCAAAACCTTATAATAAAACTACTAGGTACAGAAAATTAAGAAACTGAAGAGTTAGAAATCTATTTTAAAGTTTTCTAAGTTAAAAGATAGCATAAACTTTCAATGATACTATTAAAGTAATGAAAACCTATAAACATTCTTTAAAAAGATAAATAGATAAACTAAATAACAAAACTATGTAAAGAAGCATATTATTAATTAGATCTTTGAAATTTATCAAAAAAAAATATAAAAGTATATTATATTAATCTATTTAGATTAATAGTTTAATAAGTTTTATTAGTCCTAATAAAAGAATTTAGTAGAAAATAATCAAAAAATAGATATTAGAGTTCTAATAAAGTTTATAAGAATAAAAAATAATATAATGTATAGTCAAACTTTTTTATAATACACTCTTGGAATACAGAAATTGGTGATTATATAAAGATGTGACAATTATAGAGGTATTTTTATATAGTCACAACACTATTAAAAAAAGTAAAAAAAATAGTTAGTAATTATATTAAATAAAATTTTTTTAAAAAATCTTTTTTAATTGATTAATAATAGTTACTTTATATAAAAGTAAAAAATTTATTAAGTAAATCAAATCTTTTTATATTAGGTAAACTTGTTTAGAATAATATTTTACATATACTATAAAATTTTTATATTTTTTAAAAAATATTTTACTAATTAACTTTTACAGTTTACATTTTTATAAAAAATTTTTTTTTGTATAGATGTAAATTGTAAAAGTTAATTAGTAAAATATTTTTTAAAAAATATAAAAATTTATAATATATATAGATTGCTTTCCTAAACAACTTTACTTAAGGGTAGAAAGCAGTATTTTAAAATTATATATATATTTAATAGTAAATTTATTATTATTTTTTATTATTATTTTTTTTTTAAGATAAAGTTTTGTTTTATCTTTATTATAATTTGTATTAAGAATCCACATGAGGTTTCTTTGACCAAAGGTTGAGTTTACAAATTATTTACAAGAATAAGACTTAGATTATAGATATACTAAGACTACCTAGTTTAATCTAATTTATTTGTAACCTAAACTTATTAGAGTGATTAAATCTCATCTAGGTTTTGTTAATTAAAGTATTACTAATTTGATAGTTAATTATATTGTTAGTTGGAGTACTATATTTAATTCATTTAGATATCTAAATAGATATTTTCTTTTTTGTCATTTCTATAAATAGGCAAATATTGTATTTGTCTCTTATATGTTGTTAATTTGCTAAACTGCAAATATAGTTATAAGTATATGGTAATCTAGAGTAGTATATATATTTTGTATTGTTTGGATTATTATATGTATTTGTTGGTGTGCATGCAAGTCAAGTCAGTATATTGTGTTGGTATTTCTAATTAACTAGTTTTGTATAGTATAGTTTCTATATTTGGTTGTTTATATATATATATATAGGCTTTCAAAAGTAGAAATTAGAGAATTTGGTTAGTCATGAGTTTTAAGAAAATCGGCAAAAACTATTTTATTACACAAAATCAAAACAACCTAAAAATAGTTTATCCAAGATTAACAAACTTGTTTAAACAGGATTATTAGATCTGTAGATCTATAGATTGCTTCTAGAATAATATTAAGCATAACACTTATAATATTATGAAAAATGCATTATAGCAATAGAAATAATTAGTTTTTTTTTTTTAACAAAAAATAAAATCCTTACAGCTCTATAATAAATTGGTAAAAGTGAAATATTAATTAATTTGGTATGCTCTGGATTTGGATTAGAGATATTTTTCTGACACCTTAGTTATTATTTGACAATCTTTTTTATCTAACGAATTAATTTTACAAATAACTAATTTGCACCTCAATATTATAAATAAAATTATTTGATAGTATTAGTGGTAAGCTAGTGACATTTTTTTGCCTTCTTCTCTGATGAGCTACTTCTCTCAATTTCTAATTGCCAGTACAACTACTTTTTCTAAACAATCTCTCATAAAACTACTGTAACTCTTTTTTAATAAAACTCGATAAACTAATTAACTATATTTAGAGATAAGTATTTTTTTTTTTTTTTTTTTTTTGGAGTTAAGGTGAGGTCATGCCTCAGGTCTGTTTATTCAAACATATTGTTACA